TAGTAAGAAAGTATAATTTAAGTTAACTATAATAAGAGTAAATAATAAAATCTATCTATTCTTATATCNTTATTACTTCTAGTCTAGNATCTAGCTAAGCCTCTAATATCTCTAATATCTTTGGCATCTCTAGATATTCTAGTATCTCCTAAGGGTCTAGTATCTCTAGATATCTTATCTTAGTAAGATACTATATTACGTAATTAGCGCTCCGCGTTAATTATTACCTTCTAATATAGACGTCTATAGGCCTTCCGCTATCTCGTTACTTATTAAGGAGAGAATTCTTCTTATTACTTATAATAATAGAACTCTGCAAAGAAGGTGCTAAATTCTTAATTAGTCTAATAGAGGCGGTATAGTTTGTTATAGGCGTTATTAACTTAGTTAGGGTTACTAAAGGCTTAGTCTAGAATATCTAGAATATCTTAGTAGTTAGGTAGCTAGTACACTCTATCTTGGATATAGAGTAGAATCTAGAAGTAGAGCTGTCTAGTAAGTCTACTAGTAACGTATGCGCAACGACTTTAGAGGGTAGAGAATTAGTCTAGGTTAATAGTTAACTTCTTCTTAATTTAGGATATAAAGTAGTAGAGGTCCTTTTAATTACTATTAAACTTTTTAGAGTCTAGTAGTCGTTTAGAAGCTTAAGAAGAGGTAAGAGGTATAGTAATAATAGGCGGAGACGTTCGCGGTGTAGAATCTACTACTATCTTAGTAGGTAAGGCTAGGTTATTCTAAGTCTTAGGGGTAGAGACTATTAAAGCCGCGAGAGTAAGAGCTTTCTTCTTCTTAATCTCTAACTTCGTGTAGCGCTTATCTTTCTCTTAAAGCTATTCTTTCTAGTACTTAATTATAGTAAGGTGCCTTTAGATCTATACCTCTATCTAGCGTAATACCTTATTCTTCTTATTAGTTAGGAAGATAGCTTACTACTTAAGAGCGTTAGCTTTTAGCTTAGCTTAGTTAGTCTCCTCCTCTGCCTTCGCGACGGCGGAGTCCGTTTCCTTAAGAAGATAGTAGGACTCTTAGATATAGACTAGCTATTAGAGTAGATAGTTCTAGAACTAGTCTCTCTATAAGTCTTCGATAGTATTAGGTAGATAAGGTAGACGGGGGATAGATATAATAGGTCGTAATATGCCTATAGGTAGAAGCTACGTAATATTATAGTGTAAGTTTATAGATAGAGAAGGTAGGTACGTGTATAAGTTCTATTACTATAGTTAATTAATAGGCTCTTACTATAGGTAGTATAGAGTAGAAGATAGGACGTAGCTTAAGAAGCTCTTTAGACTATAGTGCTGTAATTTTATAGAGTCTAGGTGCTCAGGCCCGCACCCAGAATCTGCCGGCAGCCAATTAGAAGGATGCGCGCCAGCTGCCTCGCTAGCGCTGTGGTCCTAACGGCCACCCGGGGGATTCCAGCCTTGCTGGGCACCTAGAAGCTGCCGGTCCGCTGCTATGTCAGGCAGCGCCGTGACATATAGAAACTTATAAGTTAAGAAAAGTCTAAAATTTATAGTATATTTAGAATATATATAGATTCTTAATACTAAGAATCTATAAAGTTTATAATAGAGTATTTAAGTAATAAGATTAAGAATTATAATAATAATAGTACTAATAAAAGTCTATAAAAATTTATTAAGAATAGAAAAAAGAAATACTACTATAGATTTAGATAGATAATATATAATATAGACTATTTTAAAGTTTTTAAATAATTAAACGATAAAAAAACAATTATATAAGCAATATAACTAATTACTAAATAAATTAAAAAGATTTAAGACTTAGGTAGTATAATTATATAAACGTTTATATAAAGTACTATCTAGCTTAGTATAAATATATATTAATTTACAATATAAGAATACTAATATAGTATTATATTATAGAGGCTTAAATTAGTAGAAGCAATATATTACTATCTACTAAGTTCCTTTCTAATATATAACTATTTAGTATAGTATATAAACTAGTTAATATATCTTTTAATTAATACTCTAATAATATAAATATTATTAAGTGGTTTATAAATAGATATAATATATATAGTAATAAACCGATTTAGATAAGTTCTTAATAGATAAGTAATAGTTTTAGTAAAGCTATAATATTTCTAGTAGATATAGTACTAAATATATATCTTAAAGCTAGTCTCTACTATCTAAAGTATTATAATGTTATTTTAGATTAGAGTAAAATATAGATATCTAACTCTTAGTAAGATAAGTAAACTAATAAGTTTAATTTCAAACTTAGTTATATAATAGTAGAGTAGATTAAGAAAGTTAACTTTAATATTAAGATATATTTTACTACTTAATAGTATATATATATAGTTATCTAGTAACCCTTATTAAAGATATAATTCTAATAATACTTAATAAAAGAGGTTTAAAAAAACTTAAGGTATAGTTTAAAATCTTAGCTTTTAGTGGGTAGGTATATTGGTTAGGTGTTACATTAGCTGAACTAGTGCACGCACTGACTATACGCTGTAACGCCAAATCGATTCCGTAACAATACAGCATAACCTAAAATAGTTAACTATAACGAATTGGTATCTATATCTAATCGACTCTGATATGAATTGTTTTAAGATAGGCTCGTCATTCCACCCATCACCACTTTGAGATGTTGTGAATATTTGTAATGACCAGCCATCCATCGGCTCAAACTACCATTCTCGGCGAAGTACCTAACACGTGATCTTTCCCCGCGATCATCATCATCTCCTAACGCGATCGCTAGTCAGCTCTCGATCTTTCACATCCCCTCAACAAGAATCATTTCTTATCGTTTGTTTCAGGTGGATATTTCGTGACATTACGTGTCACCCGTTTCTATCACGAGTTGAAACCTTGTCGATCTTGGGAAGAAAATCAGTGTGAAGCGGCACGTATCAAGCGCAAACTAGGTAGGTGGTGCAGATTAGACTGACCAAGAGTAGCTTAGTTCAACATATGCCTCTCGAGAGCGCTAATAATAGATATGCGACTAGGTACGGCTAAAGCGTGAATACTAAATTCCGTGCTAGGTACGAGTACACTTGTGTTTCGTCTGCCCCAGCCACTCGGAAGCCCCGGCAGATGCGCGATTAGACTGCTGTATGCTGAGGCTAAGGCGTAATTTCAAAATTCCGTGCTGGGTATCTGCTTGTTGCCGGCCTCTCGGGTTCCGATGCACTACTCCAGCCACAAGTGCGGACTTGCCTAGACTTTCTCAATTGGACTCTTGTAGGCATGTGGACCATCAAGCTCCCTACTTTCCTACAGCACGTGAGCAGAAGATACTATGGCAGAAAAGCGTACCAAGCCTCTTAGCGAAGGTGGTATAGGCGGTGGTGACAAACCAACCCTAGCAGTTTCCGCACGCAAAACACGATCGTGTGCTGAATGCCGACGACGACGAATCAGATGCGACGGCGAACAAGTCCCTTGTGCCCAGTGTGTCTACTACCAAGTCCCGGAGCGCTGTTACTATCCCCAGAGACAGTACCGTCGCGTCACCACAGTAAAGTCCGTCCGCCGATTTCTGATCAATGTTTCATAGTTTAACACTAATCAACGCAAATAGAGCTTATGAAAGTTTATCAGACGCATACAGCACAGTTGAAAGAATTCTCGAGCGCCTGTTTCCCGGCCTAAGTATCCAATATCTCGATACACTGTCCCGTGACGAACTCATCAGTCTTATTTGCCATCAGCCCGTCACTGAATCTGCGCACGCAGAAGCAGAGCAGAATTCAGACCCAGCAGCGACAGAGATTTTGTTGGGTTTTGAAGGTTCACGAACCCAAGAATTTATCTGGAACGAACGTTTCGATGGTGAAAATCAACAACGCCAGGTTGGAATCGACGATGTCAATGGAGTTACCGCTCTCTTTGATACGGATAGTGGCCGCTCATACCTAGGGATATCTTCAGTCCCAGCAATACTCCATGTAATGGCTTACACTTCACCTCATCTTAGTTGCGCCATACAGACAGCGAAGATGGCAGTCAACCAGGAGCCAACCAATGCACCATTACTTGACCTACCACTATTGTTCTCACATGTTCCACGTCCGCCAACAACTCAACGGCAGGTGACGGATGAAGCCGCCTTGATCGACGCATACTTTCGATTCCTGCATCCCATACTTCCTATGGTGGATGAAACCGACTTTCGTCAGTGTTATACCCACGGCGGCAGAACAGATCATGCTCGTGGTCCGTGGCTCGCATTGATGAATATGGTTCTTGCGTTTGGCTACATATCCTGTAACGATGATAATAAAGCCGGGCATTTGTATTTCTCTCAGCGAGCATTAGAGCATATGAGCATTTCATGCTTTGGTGTGGGTCATTTGTATATGCTGCAGGCTCTGATCCTCTTCGGTGGCTGGTATCTACATTTCCTGAACAAGCCAAATATGGCGAATGCTATTCTAGGTGCAGCTCATCGCATGGCTCTGGCAATGGGTTTGCATCGAGAGATACCGTTGGATAAGACCGCTTCGGCTGATAGTCAATGGTTGGCCGGTGTACGCACTAGGACTTGGTGGTGTCTATTCTGTCTCGATACTTGGGCTGGAACTACTCTTGGCCGTCCACCATGCCATGTTCCGGGTATGGCTGGCTTGAATGAAGCTTCGGCAATATGCCATGGGTTCCTGGTGAGTTCCTCAAATTGTTCACTTTACCGCGTGAATTTCATCATTCAACTCAGCCTAACTGATCGTAGAATTACGGTACTATCTCGATGGAAGCGAGCGTAACATTTTCCATTATTGCTGCTCGCATACAGGGACGGATAGCTAAGACACCGTTGATTCCACCCGCTGCTGTAAAACAGTTTGATGCCGAACTTCTCAACTGGTATGACAATCATCATCTTGTATTTCAAGGAGACCATGAGCCCTACGAGAAAATTCCTGTAGCAGCTCTCCTCATCGAGTACCGATATTTGAACACACGTATGCTCCTCCACAGACCATCTTTGCTCGTTCAGTGCGTAAAGGCTGGTAATGTCCATAGTGACATGGCGTCTTTTGCAAAAATCTGCTGCTGTGTCGCCAAACAGACAGTAGATACAATCGCAAAAACTTGGTACCCAAATCAGCTCCTGTCATGGAAAGCATCTTGGTTTCTGTTCCAAGCTTGCCTGGTCTTGCTGCTCAACCTTCTATCCACTTCGGTTTCGCCTTCTGAAGCAAACGAGTTAGAGGATTACATCGCTCGATCGATGGATTTATTCGCCAAAATGTATCCCTGGCGAACTGCACTAAAGCAAGGGCAAGACCTCATACAATTTATCTTACTGTCTCGCAATCAAAGTAATGAGGGTTGGGGATCAAATTGGTTCATATCAGATGACGAACTCGTGAGCTTACTAGGAATCTCTGAACTGACGGGAGAGTGTACTTAGATTCGAATTCAAGAAATCACTGGCAAAGTTTCGTGTACCATATAGCTACCCAATGTCGATCAGAACAGCTAAGCCCATGTAGGCATGCTACTTGATCATCAACTGATAGTTTTAGCTAGTTATGTTACTGATATTGTTTGTGTACTTATAGAAAATGGCATTCTTAATCGATGAATCCGATTTCCCTAAGGGAAAATCATGTAACCACACGCTCCTAGAATGCAGCAACTATAAATAAACACACTTTGCTTATAGTAAACACTATGAGGTATTTCGATCTATTTGCTCGTAATAATAGAAAACTTTAAAGTACTTTAACTGATCCTTAGTAGAAACCTTTGCGCTATAGCATTAATCAACGCTATAATTAGTAATCAAACTTAAAGTTAGTATTCTTATATTTATAACGGCTTAGTTTCTATTACCACCTATATCTGAATATGATTCAAAGTAGGGCACGATCTAGCTTAGTAGAAAAAACAACTATTTAAATCTAACGCCTAGAATAGCTTATAAGATAGATTTTTAATACTGTTCTATTAAAGGCCTATTAGATATCTATCTAGATTAAGACTTATTTGTTAATTTACGCACTTCGATATACCTCACATTAGTACTACTACTAATACTAATCTAAGTAGTCTTATCTACGCCGTTTAAGATACTAGAGATAGTGGTTATTATAAACTTATTTAGGCGTCTAATCTTCTCTCTTAGCTTTCTAGAGGTATTAGAGAGAGAGGAGACTTAGTTTTCTAGAATTATAGAGTTTTCGTATATTTATTCTACTATTCTTAGCATTGTCTCTAAAAACATCTACTAGGTCTAGTAGAATAGTCTATTAAGTTGGGTTATTTTTAGCTAGATTAGGTACTTCGACTATTAGACCTCTTATAATATTAAGAACTTATTATATAGATAATATTTTTAATATTCTATTCTAAGTAAAGATATATTAATCTCTTGGTATTTTATCTATAAGAGATAATACATAAACTTATCTCTTGTTTAACAGTAGAATAAGTGTTATAAATATAGTAGATAGAGTAAATACCTTCCTAGACATAGCTATATAGTTAGATACTATTAATTTCTATCTTACTCTAGATTTAGATTTCTAGCTCTAGTACTTTCTATTATTCTTCTATCTAAAAGAATCTAATAGTACTAATATTAAATTATAGTTAATATTAATCATCTAGAAAATATAAATTTTATATAATACTAGAAAGATATATTTAAGAGACTTAGTCTTTGTACATTATTAGCTTAATAGCGCGAAGAGTATATTCTTTAAACGTAGTTATTATTAATTTCTTAAAAAATTTATAGTTATATACTTAAAATAATATATAATATATTTCACTACTAAACTAGCAGCTCCACTAAACTAGTAGATTTCTTACTCTACTATGCCTTTATAGTAATATCACGTAATACTATTATAGTATTTCTTATTAAGTAGAATAAGTTATTATTCTTTAGAAGCGTTACTATTCTCTATATTCTCTAATACTACTTAATAGATATAATAACTATATCTAATTTAGCTATAACGTCTATAGTACTATTTATTATATACTCTCTTTATAGGCGTTATATCTATATTATAGCTACTACTTTCTATCTTAATAATCTAATTAGCTATCTAGCTAACTATCTAGAATCTTTTTACTTATATATAGCGGCTCTTATAAGTTTTTTACTTTACTACTCTATTAATTATAGCTTTAAGAGAATTAAGTTTCTTTTATATAAGTACTATATTATAAGCTATTTACTAAGCTCTCTTACTTAACTACTATATCTACTTCTTAAGAGATATTATAAAAGATATAACGTGTTTTACTAGTGATTTATATTAGAGATCTAAGCTATTTAGCTAATCTCTAAGAGAACTAATCTATTAATCTCTAATCTATGTTAGGACGATACTGATCCCTAACCCAAGTTAACATTGCACCCTAATCTCAACGATCTAAACAATCTATTAATCTCTAATCTAATCTATCTATCTATTACGCAATCTATTACTAAGATAGATTCTTCTANAATNTAGANNAGCTAGTATATATAGAGGTAGAATAACTAGTAGATACAGAGTAGAGTAGATTATAACTATAAGAGAAGATTATAATAATAAGAGTAGATTATAACTATAAGAGAAGATTATAA